AGAAGTTGCCAAGGGACGAGACGTTGGTCGTGCAAGCACAAGAAGGGGAGCGGAAGCTAGAAGCACGACCGAAGGCCGAGCCCGCCGAAGAAGTCGAGGAGGTGCTGCTCGACCCTCGAACACCCGAGCGGAAGGTGAAGGTCGGGGTGAGTCTGACCGGGAGCCAGCGGAAGCGCTTGATGGACGTGCTCTCGGCCTATCGCGTTATCTTTGCCTGGGGACCTGGGGATATGCCAGGAGTAGATCCCAAGGTCATATGCCACCGCTTGGCAGTCAATCCTGAGTCTAGGCCAATAAGACAGAAGAAGCGATTCCTCTCGTCTGAACGGAGGGAGTTTGTTTCCAAGGAAGTCGCCACCCTCCAGAGCATTGGACATATAAGGGAAGTGAAGTACCCGGAATGGATGGCGAATGTAGTACTGGCCCCGAAGGGAAACACTTGGAGAATGTGCGTGGATTACACCGACCTAAACAAAGCGTGCCCAATGGATCTGTCCCCACTCCCGAACATCGACCAACTGGTGGACGAGACGGCGGGTTGCGAGCTCATGAGCTTCATGGACGCCTTCAGCGGGTACCACCAAATCCGGATGTATCCTGAGGACGAAGAGAAGACGTCTTTCACTACCCCCGGTGGAGTATATTGTTACAAGGTGATGCCTTTTGGGCTCAAGAACGCCGGGGCGACCTATGCTAGGATGGTGAGCAAGCTCTTTGCGCCCGTCCTTGGAAAGAGCATGGAAGCGTACGTCGACGACATGATTGTGAAGAGCAATAAGGCGACCACCCATGCGGAAGACTTAGAAGGAGTCTTCAAGATTATGGAAAAGTACAACCTCCGGTTGAATCCGAAGAAGTGCACGTTCGGAGTCCAAGGCGGCAAATTCTTGGGACATATGGTGAGCAGGCGCAGTATTGAGCCCAACCCCGAGAAGGTGCGCGCCATCCTTGGCATGGAGGCTCCACGAAATGTCAAGGAGGTGCAGCGCTTGACCGGTAAGTTGGTCGCGCTCATCCGTTTCCTCTCCAAGGTAGCGGACCGAGCCGCCCCATTCTTCCAAGCTGTGAAGAAGTCCCGAGGGTTTGTATGGACGGAAGAGTGCCAACAGTCCTTTGAGTCTCTGAAATCCTACCTCCTCTCTCCACCGGTCCTTGCCAAGCCCGAGCCCGGTGAGACTTTGTATCTTTACCTGGGAGTGTCGCCCAAGGCACTAAGCTCGGTCCTAGTCCGAGAAGGTGGCGGAGCTCAACACCCGGTATACTACACGGCTAAGACGTTGAGGGGTGCCGAGCTCAGGTACTCCGTGGCCGAAAAGACGGTCCTAGCGGTAGTATCAACCGTGCAGCGATTGACGCCTTACTTCCAAG